CCTCACCTAGGTGCAGGGTTTACTCACAGCCCTCATTGGCCACAAGCACATGTGGGCCTTGAGCACTTCATGCTCAGTAGAGAACCCCAAATAGAACAGAAAGTTCTGTTCCCCAGTTAGAACTCTCAAACTGTTTCAACAGTTTCAACAGCTGTTATCTTTGTTGAGCCCCTGAATTCCAGATTTTCCTTGACTATCTGGTTCTGAAGTTCTCACCTGCTCCTCCCCAGCTATGCTGGTTTACCAGACTCTGGACTCCATCTTCCCCAGATGGATCTTGGGGGCTCACTCCTCATTCCTATTCTGATTCTTGCCCTGACCTATCATCACCCTGGTGTCCCAGGATCTGCCCTGCTCTCACCAGCATGTCCTAACCTGTTGCAGCCAAAGCCCTCCTGGGGGTTACCAAGGTGGTGTTCAGTAGAGAAGTATTATCTTTGAAAAGTTATCAGCTTGTCCGATGTTACTTTCTGTTTGAGGGCTCAAATTTAAGACAGTCAAGAGGTAGTCCTTAAAAATTAGTGTAACTAATGAAGAGAGCAGTGAAAACTAGGAAAATTTGCTCACTAATTCCCCCAAAACATTGTGTTGAGAGGAGGAGGAGGGGGGATTAAATTGTGATGGCTTGTGCATCAGTTTGGGTTTTACTAAACCCAACTTGCAGGGCAAACTTGGACTTACTGAACTTTATCTCCATTAAAAACAAAAACAAACAAACAAACAAAAACTAGCAAGAACTCCAAGTGCTAAGAACTGAGTATGAACCTGTATCATGTCAACCACTGGTTTAAGCTCCTCTGTTGCTTTACAATTTCTCATCTTGCAGGACAGGACCCTGGAAAGGCAGAGGCATGTGAGGAACTGTGATGGCAAAGCAACACACTAGGACCTGCAAACCCCAGTGGATCCTAAAGGAAAGCAGAACCTCAAAAAACCAGAATAGAAGACGAGGTCCAGCTTTCTCTCTACTTACAGACTTTTCAGTTAGCCTTGAGACTCAGAATTTGACTTCATGAATGGAGTTAGCAAGTTGCTCACCCAAAAGGAAATAAACATGAAGGCAAGACTACAACTAGTTCCCCCAAAACATGCAATGAGGAACTCTACAACCTGCTGGAGGAAGTCCCACCTAATTTATCTAGTCAACAGACAATCAATTCAATAGTAGTGGTTCTCAAAGCATAGTCTCCAAAATCATTAACAGTAGCATCTCCCAGAAGGCTGTCAGAAATCCAAATTCTCAGGCCAACAATCGATAGTTTAACTACCCTTCCTAATGATTCTAAGGTATGTAAAAATTTGAGAATACCAACTTAGAGAACAAACAAAAATCACTTTTTTCAAAATAGTGCTCCCCTCTTCCAAATAAAATCTCATCAGTTATTTACCACAAGAGTAGAAAAGATATCCATTCATCTCCCTTTATATATAGTTGATTCCAATTTGGGATCATCCCCACTTGTTCAGGAAAACCATGAAATGTATAATGTATAAGTCATTAATCACTGGCTCAGGTACACCCTTTTGCAATAGATTCACTGTCCTCATTAGACTTTGTTTACCAAACTCTGTGGATATTCCGGGAAACCCAAGGATCTATCGATAACAGAGCCTGGCACAAGGACTGGCTGAATGAATAAATATGCACAGTGAATGGCGGGAATGGGGGGGAATGGAAAAAAAAAAAAGGTGGGGTTGGAGGGGTGCCAAGGTGAACAACTATCTCAAACTCTTAAGGCAGAAAATTCTTATTCTAAAAAGAAATGAAAGTAAGAGTTTCATAAAATAACCTTATCCACAAAAGAGGATGGAATAAGTGAAGACTGAAGAAACGTCTGTATTAGCACAAGATCATCTGGAACTAGCAACTTCCTATGCCTGACCCACAAGATAGTTAACCTGCAAGGAAATGGCTGCAAGTTGACTATATTGTCAATAAACACTCTTTTACAACTGGCTGCATAGTCCCAGATGTCTCCCAAGCCGCAACAGCTGGTGTGAGAAAAGAAGACTTGTAAGAATCCCTGTATCTTCCCAGAGAGAGGTTCAACCATCTCCTCTGAGGATTTCTGAGCAAGAATTACAAAACTGGCACAATATCAGGAGTGAGCATTCTGCAGGATTCTCCTGTTAGAGTACTATTTTTAAAAAGGCAAACAAGAGGGAGACGAATTGCTAGGAAGTTGCATTTTTTACAGCAATTGGGAGACAAATGTAACTTCTTACCAGAAATGGAAACCCACATGATATCATTGTACTACATATGAATTATTAATGTTTATAAATTTTTTTGTAAATTAGGTATTCAGGAAGGTTCCTGTTGACATCATGTTTGACATCATAATGCTTCATCATTCTAAAAGCTTAATGAGATGAATTATTGCTAGAAAAGAGAGAGAGATCAAGCACACATTTTTGCACTCTGGGGAACACCAGAGATGAAGCAGATAATGAGGATAGGCTTCATAATTGATGTACAAAAAAGAATTTTAAAAAACCACTATTACAACCCACTAGCACTGTAAACAGGACAAAATGGCAAAGACTTTACTTTTTCAATTGTACATTTTGGAAAAGGGGGTTGGAAGAGTGTCATGATTAACAGCTATCTCAAACTCTTAAGGCAGAAAATTTTTATACTAGAAAGAAATGAAAGTAAAAGTTTTATAAAATTACTTAATCACAAAAGTATGGAAGATGTGAAGATTGAAAGAAGATAATAAATCACTGAGTCACAAGTCCTAAAAGGATATATTGAATACATTAAAGCAATTCAGTGATAATAATTCTGTATGATTTGTATAAGTAATAATTTTGGCTTTAAATTTAATTTCAAATCTATTATTTTTGAGATCTACACAAGCAAATTAGTGTTGAATCACTGAACCAGCAGTTTCATTCCCAACATTCCTAGTAATGGGCTGGAATGAATTAAGCTCTTATTTGGAAATCATGTTGATAAAGCAGAGTGAGTTAAATTCCTATCCAGGACAAGTCTTTTAACACTTCAGCCAAGTAGCAATGATATTTATACAAGTTTATACTAGCTGTTAATAACTGGGACTCATTTTCTCTCCAGTTTTTACTCCATTTGGTCTCTAAGTAGCCTCTTGAGGGAAGTATTAAAACATAGAGAATGAGTTCATTCATTATTCTTTCTTTCGTTGAACAAACATGGAGTAGCTAGAGTTGCCAGGTACTAAATTGAGTTCTTGCTACTTGGAAAGACAAAAATACACAATTACTTGTAACAACCAAAAAAAAGGATCACAGAGTTCATGAGTTGTCACTATTCTGAACTACTGTTTCATGCCTTCAAACTTCCTTTTCAACAGGAAGACAAAAGGATAGTCTTTATTAGTAACAACCCAATTTAACTACTTCACCAAATACATGTTGAACCCTTGCAATTGCTCCTAATACAAATTTTATGTGAACTGGTGTATGAAAACAAGCAAGCAAGCAAGCAAACAAACAAAAAAAAAACCTCGACAAAAGAAAAATACAGTGATCAGCAATGCCTTTATAACAAATGTTCAATTGGTAGGTTGTAAATTCATGAATCCTAATCTTTGGATATTCTGTCCTTACACAGTTACTTTTCAAAATCCAGTAGACACCTGAAACATAGTAGGTTCTCAATAAATGGTATTTTTTTAATCTTACGAATGGTTATATTATCATATTAAGTGATTATTACCAGAAAATCCCCACCACTATAAGTAAACATCAGCTAGGTTTCAAATTACAAAGTCAGATGCTATTAAAATGATATCACTAAAAGGAGATATCGTTTGGTCTTGCAGATTGAAGCCAGCACATCCTTCTCTTCACACCTGTCCAGTGAGGGGCGACTTTATCCAATGAAGACTAAGAGCCTCCTAGGTAGATCATTTGTTGAACAACTTTTCAAGTATTAAACATAGATTTCTGCCTTTGCCAAATAATCAATGGAATGGTTCCTCCTAATCTACTGACCTTGTAAAAGCTGTCATTCTATCTAACATTAAGAATCATAGCAATGTATTTTCTTTCCTCTGCACAATGGTTATGTACAATTGTCATTCTGTTTGCTACAAGGATAAAAGGCCCAGTGGCCAGATTTACACAATGAAACCTTTTCTGATTGAATATTAGTTTGAGAACATACAGGAGGGCACTATTAAAACAATAATTTTCCTGTTGTCATTAAGAAATATCTAGGGACTGCTTTAATTATTTCAACCATTTTCCCACTTCCTCAAAATTCTACTCTCCTGAAAGATGAGATGTGTGTGCAGAATCTTCCTCTTCAGACAGCTGCACTGGAAACCACTTCCCCCTCGATGTAGCTCAACTGACACTCAAACTCTCCACCCGGTTCTCTCGATTTTATCCAGGATGCAGCCAACCCAGAGAAGTGACAAACAACAGGTTCCACTCCTTTCCTCCATTCTCTTCCAACATTTCTCCACCAAACAGAAACACCCTCCTCCATTCACAAATCCCGACACTGGATCCCTGTGTCTAAGACTCCAGGCAGCCTGGGTTAGTTTTCCCAGGTAAAAAATCTGAATCGGAGGCACTACCGTAACCCTCCCGGGCTCTGCACCATTCACCCGCCAGACACGCACATCCAGCCCGCTGCTCGGGTTACATTCAGCCGTACTCGCCGCTAACAGCTCTCGCTGACATCCACCCCTCCTCCTCCTCTAATCGAGCCACAGCCTTCCTCGCCTCCACGAGAAACCGGCCGGCCCACCTGATTCCCCCTGCGCTCCCTTTCCCACCCGCTCCCCCAGAATCAGCTCCCAGGACCCCTCCACGGCTCTTCTCTGCTCCCGTTCCCGGGGCCCTCATCACCCCCCAAAATAAAAAGTAAACTCCTCCTCAGTGACAGCCTCCTCCAGGTCCCCCGCGTCACGGCCCGGCCCCCGAACTCCTCCGGAGCCCCCTACCCGCGCCAGCCCCGCCCGGACGGGGCCGGCGGCCCCCGCAGCCGGGCGGGCGCCGGCGTTTACCTTGACGCTGGTGTAGCTGGTCTGGGTCTCGGCCTCCGCGCTGCTGCAGCAGTGGCGCCTCCGGCCCCTGCAGGTGGTCGCCGCGCGGGCAGCGGAGCCCGCGCTGCTGCCGCTGCCCAGCTCGCCTCGGGCCCTGCGGACGCGGGCGGCGCCCGGGGGTCCGGACGCGCGGCTGGGGGGATGGCGTCGGCGGCGTCGGTCTGGACGAAGAGGCCGTGCAGGGCGGCCGCGGGGCCCGGAGACGCGCCGGTGGTCTGGCGGGGCGAGTTGGACTCGTCCGAGTCCCGGCAGTAGATCACGCCGCTCTGCGAGACGTGGATGCTAGGGGCGCAGCCCATGCCTCGGCCGGGCTCCCCCGCGCGCTCGCCCGCGCCCCCGGCCGCCCGGACCCCGCGCCCCCGCCGCCACCTGCAGTGAGGGGGCGGGCGCCTCGGCGGCCGCGGCCAGGACGCCCGGACTGCGCGCCCCCCGGCCGGTCTGGCCGCCGCTCCGTCGGGCTCGCCGCGGCGCCCCCCGCCGAGCCTCCGGGGGCCGTCCGCGTCACCCCAACTTTCCCTTCTGGGCCATCTTCCTCCCCGAGCGGGGGAGCGCGCACACACAGCGCCCCGCGCGCACCGGCAGCCGCCACCCTCCCCGCCGCGGCGCCCCAAACGCGCTCCCCGCGCCTCCGCCTTCCCCTCCTCCCCGGCTCGGCCCGCGCCGCCGCCCAGCTCGACCTCGCCGGACTCCCGCGCCCGCGTCCCCGGGTCCTCGGCGCCCGCCCGCCGCCCGCTTCCCCCACTTTGGTCCACGCCCGTCCCCCGCCTTCCCTCGCTCCCTCCCTCTCTCCTCCTCAGGTGCCCCCGCTCCTCGGGCCCCCTGCACCCCTGAGCCCCGCCCGCCGCGCCGGAGCTCTCCCCGGCTGGGCACCGCGAGCCCGGCGCTCGCCTCGGCCCACGGGAACCCGGCGCGCAGCAGCTGGCGCAGAGCCTGGGCGCCCTCCCCTCCGCCCCCGCGGGCCCCCTACACCCCCGAGCGCCCCTCTTCCCCAGCCCCTCTTCCCCTACGGGCTCGCACCCTGGGCCAGGCTCTGGGGGCTGGAGAGCACCACAATAAGCCCCTCACCTTTCACCAACATCTCTAAGGAAAACAACAGGACACCCCTCCCGAAAGAGTAGGGACCCCACCGCCCAAGCCCACCCGTCTGATCTACAGGCCTCCAGCACGCTCTGGGAGTTAAGGAAAGACCTGACCATTCCCCAGCCCGCGCCCGCCCTCGCCCCCATGCTCGCAGAAGGCTGAGCCGGATGGCGGTACCGTCCTCAGAAGTTCCTTCTACATCGACTCATCACTTGCAGGCTTATGCCTAGGGAAGGAGGCCCCAAAGAGAAGAAAGTCGTAACCACACAAATTCCCTTAAGATCCAAGAAAGGAACTCCTCCAGAGTTTTCACCTCTTCCTTGGGTGTGACTCAAATTTCCTCCTGGCTTCTACCCCAAGTAGCCTCCCATTGTCAACTGGTCTTTCTCACACTCTGGGCTGGGCAGTCAATACCACCTGCCCTCCCTCCCCTGAGTGAGGCACACACAGAGGAAGCTTCACCCAAAGAAAACAGGAATATCTTTGCAAACCAGGCAGCCATTCACAGTAGCCCTCCATCTCCCCCCCCCCCCCACACACACACACATTTAGTGAGATGTGAGGTAGAGCCGCAAGCACCACTGCCCATGGCACAGGGCAAATAAGGAGACGCCTAAGAGAGGGCTCAATCCAGAATTACTTATAAGGGCAAGAATACGGAGCCATAATACCGAGTACAAAGAAGTACGTCTCCAGTTTGAAATTATGTTTTTGGGTCTTCCTTTCTCTCCGCATACCAAGGTTTTTTGGAGTGACTGGATGAAGACTTCAAATGTCAGCTTCTCGCCTTTACAGAGTAGCACGGTGTCACCCCAAATCCCCAAATCAGATACAGAGAGGAGAAATAATTAGTCTAACCACCTTCTTCTACTTTTGCTTCTCTTCTTCTGAGCACTCCAACTTTTCAACTTTTTGTTCTCTTTCAACTTTGTTCTCTTCAAAATAAATGTTTTGATGACATGGAAAAAAACCCATCTCCAGTTTTTACCCAAAAGGTCTATGCTCTATTTTCTAATGGCTAGGCAAATTGTTCATAAAATTTCAGTGCAGGTTGGCTTCCTCAAAAATCAAATTCTGAGATGGAGTACAGTGGCAGGCGGTTTATTAGGAAGCACTCTTGGAGCTGACATCTGGAAGGAGAGGCGAGGGAGAGTAGGGGGTGGGGAGGAAAGATTGAAACCAACCTACGACAGCCTCAAGGAAAGCCTCAGTCATCCCTGGGATGAGCTGGGATGATCTTTCAGGATTTCCTGAGGTAGGGCTAGAAGGACAGGTCTTTATACCCAACGTGGGTCAGTTGTGACTTACGGGCTACCCCAGCAACCTCAGACAGGTGGCCCTCTTCAGCAGAAGCAATCCCTGTATGAAACAAGCAGTTGAGGACTTTCTCCCTACAGTACTCCCCCAGCTGGAGGGGAATATCCTTTTCTGGCATCATAGCTCCTACCACTCCTACCACAACCCCTTTCCAGAGTACCTGGGTGCAGAGTTCCTTGTCCCCACTCATATGCCTATAAGAACACCACCTTAAACGTCAACACTGAGATAGAGAGATTCGTCTGAAATAGACCCAAGCCTGAGGGCCACCACCTGCTCTTTTCCAGGAGCTGCTCAGAACCTGGAAAATATCGTTAGTTAAATTACGGAAGCACTAGTCTCCATACCAGTTCCTGGTGTGATTTTTTTTTTAATTATATTTTTAAATTAATGGAGTACCATTGTTTTACATCTTCGTTAATATTTTTACAATATAGGATTTCTCCCTTTAGGTGTGGTTCCCTGACATAATGTCAAGCCAAGAGTTAATCATTCCTAAAGTTTATGTGTCCTTTATACCCATTACAGGAGCGACCAATGGCAGGTTTGGGTTTGTTTTTTTTTTTTTAATGCAGAGTGATGCTAATTCTCATGCCACATGTCTACTTTTTCAGAGTTTTCTCTAGGAATGAGGTTACTGGGATGAAACTAACCAGAGAAGAGAAAAGGGTCACTCATGGAGGTTTTTGAAGGTAAGAAGGCTATAAATCAGAAATTAGCACCAATTTTCTGGTGGAAAACATTAGAGATGGAATCATGAAGTCACCTGGAAATAAATTTAGATCACACTTTGTACATTAAAAAAAAAAAAAGATTAAGACTTGAGATCATAAATAACCTCAATGTATTATAGCTATTGAAGAAAACTGAGTTGCTTTAGTTCATTTATTGAACACTTTATTTTGGGATCAGAGCCTTTTGTAGAATGCAACTCCATACAGAAACAGAAGACAGAACTGGGGGATAAATTTTTCCTTCCATTCTCAGAGCAGCTGATAATTTCAATACCTTCCTCAGACACAGCGTCCACTGCCAATTCTGGCTTGATGAAAGGAAAAAAATAAAGTACCCCTGTAATCTCCACCAAGGGTTCTCAGTGGGAATGTGTAACCTGCCCTTACTGCTGGCATGCTCTGTTCACTGGAACATGCAGAAGTGTGCAATGAAGGAGAAACGGTTTAACTGAAATCATCCCCCGTCTTAGCTCTGAGGCCTAAGTTCTAGCCCATGGTAGTGATTTCTGGACCAATTCCCACGTCACAATTTCAATGCATTCCAGGATAACAGCAAAGTCGACAAGCTCAGACACTGCAGATAAAACCTAGGTTCAGGTTACGGAATAAGGCCAGAAAACTTCGACATTAAAAAATTTAATTAAGTGGAAAAATTTAGTTATAGCCAATGCCCAAGAAACAAATCAAAAGAAAGCAAACTAAATCAGAAATGTTTTCAAAAATGAAACCTCAGATATGTCCAGGGTCAGCTGAATGGCTTGATATTTTATACTAACGTCAAATCAGAGTTTATTTCAGAATTATGACCCAGAGGCACTGCAAGATCTGGAACAATTAAGGTCCTTCTAAAATGGTATGACTCTTCCAGAATTCCTCTAAAGAAACAGAAAATGTGATTAATACATTCTGAATGATTCTTAAGCACAAAGGTTAAAAAAATAGCAGAGTTCTAATTGATCTTTAGATAACCAAACATTTAATAAACTATCCTTGGTGAGCTTCTGAATTCAAACTACATTTCTAATGGTGGAGCTTATTGGAAATCTAACCACCTGATAAGTGAAATAATATAGTTTATTAGATAGCCCAGTACAGTGGAAGGTTCATTGAACTCAGAATTAGAAGGGTGATTCAGAAATGCAGAGCTGCCTCTTGTAAATGTATAACTTTGGATAAGCCACTTAACCTCTGAGACTCAATTTCCCAGGTAATCTCCAAAGTCACTAAATCACCAAAATTCAGGAATGCTCTGAATTTTTGACTACCTTTTATTAAATTACGTTTTAATTTAGAATAATGGAATTTTTGAACTTAAAGAATGGTCCTGAACCTAATTGCACATCTGTTTCATCCTGAGGAATTTGTCATGAATTGTCTATGAATACAACAGTTCCTTGGTCCCATCCCAAAGACTTAGATTCAAGGATAATGAACAGGTCTAACGTGTACCCTTTCAAAGAAGGTGAGTCCAGTGTGCATGTTCCACTGCCTCCTTTGGGGATGAGAGTAAACATCGAAGTCTTCAGAAGAGCCTAGAAAACCCTACCTAAAAGTGGCCCCTGTGACCTCTTTGAGCCCCCTCTCCATTCTCAATGCTGTTCCATTGCATTGGCCTTCTTGCTGTTTCTGCAGGAGACCCTAATATTGTTACCAGGAACTCATCTCTTTTCCCTTATACTAGTCCATCAAAAATTGCATGACTGATCTCCTTATTTCCTTCAGTGTTTGCTCATATGTGATTCTACACTATCAGCCTTGTTTAAAATCTTCATCCTTGTCCCTTCCATTGTCCCCATACTACTCCTGACTCCCGTTAGCCTCATCTTTCTATAGCACTTATCCCTTTCCAACTCTTATATAATTAGCTCATTTATTATTGTTTATCAGCTATCTTTGCCAACCAGAATATAAGCCCTACAAGAATAGGAATTTTTTGGTTTCTTATTCACTGATTGATCTCAAATTCCCAGAACAGTGTCTGGCATACAGTAGGTGCTTAAATATTTGTTGAATAAATAAATGAATTTGTTTTCTCCCATTGCTTCCTCTTTTGCATTCCCTTTTTCTTAACTGTCCTAACTCAAAAGGGTTTTGGAGGATTTTTCTTTTATGGGGTAGAATTTATGTTCTGTGTCATTAGTTCTTAAAGTCTATGAATGCCTCTGACA